TGCAAGGTGTTAATGCTTTTCCTTCCATTTGTGCACAGCTGAACGTGACATGCTCCTCACACTCTGGATTTATGTTAAAGTTAATCCCGGACAGTCGAGAAGAGTTATAGATAGTACAATGCAGAATTCTCAGCTCCCTTCCCCCATCTAAATGCAAGTTAGACTACAGGATAAATTTGTGATAAACAATGCTATCTTGCACATTTAAAAATAAGATTAAACACAGCCTTTGTATACTTGATGAAAAGCCATTGCCTTAGCTTTCCTGTGTTGCTAGTACATCTGTTTACTGTGCTGTTTTTTCTTCAGCCAGTCCTGTTCAGCACTGATCTTAAAATTAAATTCACAAACTCCAGACCTTTCTTTCTTAAAGTTGTTGTTCTGTATCAAGATACTTAAACAACATTAAGTTCACTACTAAATTTATAATTGACAACTTTTAAGAAGTCCAGTTTTAGTACTAAGTACTACTGATTTAGAATGAGCTTTACGCTGTTCTCCTAGAATAATGGTGCAGGGTGGTGTGATAATCTTAAGCAGTTTAGCCTAAAGTCCTCAATTCTTGTAAGCAGTAACTTGTCCTCAGATGCAGACAAGAAAGCTCCTTAATTACCCTGGATGAGTACCCTGCAGTACTGTCAACAGCTAATACAACATGCTTAAAAGGTAAATAAAACCTCTGATACAGTATCTGTGCTGTACAGAGTAGTAAAATCACTTCCCAAGCCCTGTTTGTTAGTAAAACCTGCATTGATGATAAACATTAAAAGCAAGAAAAATTCACTAATGGGGAGAAAGAGTTGCAATCCTAAAGCAGCAAAGTTTTGTTAAAAGTGCCAAGTTTTTCCTATGCTTAAGTACCATTCCTGCATAAAGAAACTGTGATGCGGACCTTTGGATTCTGCAGTGTAGTAATCAAGTAAATGTAATAGGGTACAGGTTTGTGCTTTTGCATAGGCCATCGGGGGAGGGGGGTGTGTGGGGAGAAATATGCCATGTAAATTTTCAAGGTACAATCTGAAGCAACAGTGTCATTAAGAAAAAAGTGTTAGTTGTGGTTTTCTGTAATGTTGATCTCTTTTTCCTCGTTTAAAAACTCAAAAATCTGTCTCGTCTTAAGATTAGTTCCATACATGTATTTACACACATGTTTTTGAATCAAAAAGGGAAGGTGAAAAGCTGGCCCAGGAAGAGCTAATATGGGCTAATTTGCAATTTTAACTTTCAAACACCTGTGGGGGAAAGAGTGAATTAGGAAAAACGGAATTGTAAGAAATGTTTGGGTCTTGGTGCATTATTTTAAAAAGCAAAATTGTATTTTTTGTTCTGCCTCTAATTCCATTTCAGGATGTAGATAAAATGCAATCACTGATTTCTTTGAGAATACGATCTAGTCATATTACCACAATTTTGCATACTTTCTGGGTTATACAAGTGACATGTGAGGGAACAGGGACATAGAGTTAGTGTGCCTGGTGCTTAAAAGAGTGGGTTTTCTTACTCAATTAACTACCTTCCATAATCTGTGTAATTTAAGGTGAGAGGTGTATTATGTGGAAGGCAGGAATTTGTTTTTGGGAAGTGAGTCAGTATTCAAGGCATGCAGTGCGTTATGGGTGAATTTAGGGCACCATCCCTCTGCTGCAGCTGTTCTAACAGACTTTGAGAAGGTGCTGAACAAGCTTCCCACTAGCAAATGGGCCCTTTTCTCTGTATAAAATTTGAAAATTAACCTCACTGTGAAAATTGAGGGATTTCTGTGGTACCAGCTGACTGGAGGGACAACGTGGGATAAGGTTTGTGAGGATAGCGTCAAGCATCAGTAAATCTCTCTCATGAAAACAAGTCCTTCTTATTTGAGGCCTGTTTACAAAGAAGCAATTTTAGGCCTCAAAGCTGTAGATAGGCAGTTGAAGACCCTTAACTATAATGATAAATAATGCATTTTTATTATTATTTTGTTTTGCTGTAGATTTGGAATGGAAAATAATTTATGTGGGTTCAGCTGAAAGTGAAGAGTATGATCAGGTGTTAGACTCTGTTTTAGTCGGACCTGTTCCTGCAGGCAGACACATGTTTGTATTTCAGGTAAGTTTGATTTAATGGTTTCTACAAGGGGTATGCTAATTTGTTTAGAGAGGATTGTTTCAGTCTAAGAGGCAGTTGAAAAATAATGGTAAGCTAGGAAAAATATTTGTCAGCTCCTCAGGTATGATACACCTGCCTTTAAAGTCTGTTCATGAGCTAGTATTTCTTGCCCCTGACATTTCTTGGCATTTTTCATTAGTGGTATCGCTATTTAGAGATAGTGACATAAGCCCAGTTCCCAACAGCTACTGATTATTTTAGCCAACCTGGTTTGTAAATACATTCTAGATCACTCAGTAATCAAGAGTGCCAGTTACCTGATTTACACCAGCACCATCAGGCTCAATGCAATTGGTGGCAGTTTCGGACAGTAACACTAGGTTAACGTAGCCAGCAACTTCAGAAGATCAGTGTAAAGTGAGCCAGAAAAATGAAGAAGTTCACTTCTATTTAGCAGGACACATGTTCAACCATGATGTTTGGTTAAGCATGCTAAATCATAACAAAATATGGTGATTTCTAAAATAAAGACGGAAATCCAGTGGTAGGTAGTAGGCATTTAGGAAAAATGTGTGTAGATCAAGACTGTCCAGCAAAGTCCAGAGAATGTGACAGTCCTATAAAATACTGCTGTTAAAACCAAAAGTGCATGAAGGGAAAGAAAACAGGGAAACAGCAGCACTGAGATGGCTTAACTAGCCTGCTCTGGTTTCCATTTTAAGTCAGGGAAGGGAAAAAACCTGAAGTGAACTTGCCTGAATCCTTACAGAAGCTTTTTTTGTTTGTTTGGGGTAGTTTCTTTTGTGGTGGTAATTGTTTGGTTTTCCTTTTTTTTTTTTTTTTTAATCAAACCTATAATTTTTATTCAAACTAACACTCTTTTCCTTATGAAATACTAGAATTTTTCTTGTAAAATGAGAGCAGAATCCATCAGACGAAAAATCAGATAGCAACTCAGTATGCCTATTGTATAAGGACCTGCTACTTTCCCAAATAGTATAAATTCACTTAACTATTTAATGGCAGATGTGTGCTGGAGGATGAGCATTAAAAAAAAGGAAGTGCTAATGAATACATTTCTCGCTATTACTTAACTGCTTTAAAATGCTATCAATGTTTGTGAGGCATCTGTGAGTTCCAGGGAAATTGTGTTTGGTTTTTGTGGTTTGGGTTTTTTTTTGGTGTTTGTTTGGTTTTGTTCCTGTAAAGGACAGGCTAAAGGAATAGGATTAGGCTGGAGGCTGCATTTATCAACCGCATATGTGCAAATCAGTCTTGAAACATTTTGCTTTGGTTTTGGAGCGAGGCCTAATTTTTTCCACACTACAAATAAGCAGATGTGTAACAAGTGCATCATTTATTAACAGTTCTTCCATTATCAAGTCATTATAGCTTATGGCATTAATTGGTCAGAAATAGGTGATCATCTATTGCCCTCAAAGGGGCTACCTTGTGGCAGTGTATGCAGAGGAATCAGCTACCATTTACACTTCTAATTTAAAAGATGTTCTCAGTCACAACGATTCATTGTTGATGGTGATGGGAAGGAGCAGGAAGCAGGTGCCTAAAAAGGCATGTTTTGGCTGTATGATTAGGAAGGTCTCTAAAACTAAATTTACTTGCAGTTTATGTAGAAGGGAGTCAGTATTGTGTCCTGGTTATAAATGACACTACAGCTAAATTAGGAGGAGCTAGGTAGACACCTTGCTTTAGATTGTAGCAGGTTATGTAAGAAATTCCTTCTGTTATGTATTAAAGTATCCCTTTTATTTCTTACGGAAGTACTGTTGGTCTGAGTATATTATGCTTCAAAAGTTCTAGATTGCAGGTTGAGGCTAGGACTGAGCTAGTATGTACACAGGAGACCACCAAAACCCCAAGTGCTGCAAGAAGCCTTTGCTGATGACTGAAGCCATTTTATTCACCAAACTGAAGCAGCCTGGAATATGGAGAGAACAAGCAAGGGAAGGCGAGAATGGGGCAAGGCACAGAACTGCAGGAGGCATGTAATATAAAGAAAAGAGATTGTGTTCAGCAGGGACAGCATAAGGAAAGGACCCTTGCGGAGGTGTATAAAATTTTCAGATAATATGCTGTAGATTTTTCGAGATAGGAAAATGGCTGAAATAGCAACTAAAATGGAGTAGCACACAGACAGAATGCCAAGGATGATAAAACCACCTGAACTGAAAGGAAGCTGTGTATCAGGTTGGGAATTCAGCCTTACATATAGAAAGATGGAAAATAATTGTGCTTTTCAGACTGACATAAGCAGCCCCCCCCACCTTTTTTTTTTAACCATTTAAAAATGTTTTGATAGTAAAGGCCCACAGCCTGGCCTATTTATTTCTAAATGCCAAGGCATACGTAGTGAAACCTGGTTCCTTTTCTCTGTGCATGTGAGGATTTGTAATACAGTCACAGAAACTTTTTTTGAGAATACAAGCACATAAATAATTTACTGTCTTTAAGTGGGGATATGACCTTTGCTACCTACTCTGCAGTAATACCTATGCGAATAAATGTCTTGTGGAAAAGCAAGATAAGTCAGGAGAACATACACACTGACTTCATAAAACTCTTAAGTAATTTATAGCATAAGAATGGAATATTAAGACTGACTTTTATGCAAAAAATAATCTGCCTCTCTTTACCCAAATATCAAATATATATATACCAAAATATCTGCAGCTGCGCGTTTATCACTTGATCGTACCAAGCTCTTTTTTTCTTCCACCTGTGTATGATCATTTGGTTTGTGAGCAATTAAGAGGTTTGGCACCAAAGGTGAGAAGTTCAAAATTTGAGAGAACTATTTTAAACAGTCTTCAGTGTCTTTTCCACGCAGAAAAACAATGCTAGAGAGTTAATTAGGATTAGAACAGAGTATGTCCTTGGGTTCAGAAGTGTGTCATGGGATATTACAAGACAGGAAATGCCAGTAGGAACCTGGAAAACTAAAATCCTACATTAGGGTGTGAGTTTCACAGGGAGATAAACTGAACAGTGCCCTTTTGCTGTCCATTACTGTGGAATTTAAAGTAATCAAATGATTCTGGGCACTGTTAAGACAAGATTACTGCATTAAAATAGTGATTTAATCTATATTGGCAGTTCTTCTGACTTCCTCAAGCTTCTGCACTTGTCCTGTTCCTTCCATACATCTTTTCCATATCCATATGCAGTTGTAAAACCATTTGGTCATTTTCTATTTACTTCAAGGCTGGAGGAAGTTGTGTTCTACCTGATTCCCTGATTTCTTCTCCTCTCTCTGGTGTATTTGTTTGTACCTGAGAGGTCTGACTCATCTAATCCTTCTGCAAAGTATCTACAGCTTCTTTCAAAGAGCAACACTGCTTTGAAGGCTTTAGAATTGAAGTTGCAAAGAGTAGAAGCCAATCGTGCGTGAGCTGTAGCTCCCAAATTTCACTGCGCTGGAGCATATAAATACTGCAAAAAAGTAGGGATGAGAGGGACATCAGGAATTAATTCCATTCATCCTCTGTCCTTAGGCAAGGTTTGTTAACATGCAAACCATTTGAACACACGTTATTAACACCAACTTGTTCTTTTAACATGGATGCTCGTTATTGACTTCAGATCTTCTCGTAAAATTGTTAATATGAAGCTGCTTTACTATGCCTTGATTGCTGTTACTTTAAATCCCACAGCAGAATGAGGCAGCACATTTTATCAATAATGTGGAGTTAGGAAGCATTTTAAGGAACTGATGAACACATTTTACGAGGCAAATTTTATTGATAAAAAACTGCAGAGATGTGAGTAAGGACGTTGAGGAAGATCACTTGAGTTGCCTATTAATTAGGTTTGCGTATTGGCTGAAAATGTCAGGTGTCTTGGAGAGATGAGGCATTTAACTGCATAAATTTTAACAAACAGAGCTATTAGGAAAGAGGCAAGAGAAAGTTGTTTATTCCTTTCCTCGACATGTGTGGGACGGCTCAAACCTCACCATAGCCCATTTCTGTAGTTTTAAAGATTTAGTCTTGTTAAAAACACACATGTAGGCCAAATCAATCTTGAGGGTATAAAAGAAAACCATCTTGCTCTAATGAATTACCACGATAGGCTGAAGAACAATAGTACTGTAGAACTAGGGTGATGTTAGTAGACCTGCTCAAACAATGGTTCAGCTGATTTTTTTTTTTTTTTAAATTTAAAAGCAGTTTGGGATCTAACTTGCCTAATTGCCCATAAGAAATGTCAGACAACAATATTACTGTATTCGAAGTAATTCTCTCTTTACAGGATAGTGTCCAAAATCTAGGGTTGATGTTGTGAAAGCAGGTATATTTTCTGGTTAACTTGAACAATTTAAAATATAGTCGCTGCTTAGCTGCTAAAACATACTATTTAAGATTCCCCTGCTAGAAAGTCATGTAGTATCAATTTTATTTTAATTTATCTTTCCCTTTCACATTTAGGCTGATGCACCTAACCCAGGGCTTATTCCAGATGCAGATGCAGTAGGCGTAACAGTTGTGCTAATTACATGCACTTACCGAGGTCAAGAATTTATTAGAGTCGGCTACTATGTAAACAATGAATATACTGAAACAGAACTGAGAGAGAATCCACCAGTAAAGCCAGACTTTTCTAAGGTAAGGCATGTTTTGTTCTAGTCATATATCAGAGGTATGCTTAGAGGTTTTTAAGAAACAAAAGCAAACATCAAGTGATTTCATAAAGTGCATGGAATGAGGCATTAAATAATGGAAAATACTTGAGGAAACAAACTACAAGTACCATGTAGTTGTCATAGATTTGGATAATACTGAGAAACCATCAACAGTTTCCACCATCTTGAAAACTTGGCTGCACTTTCACACCGACTGTGTGAAATAAACTACTGGATTTATTTCCACCTGCACCAGCATTGGCTCTGTTCTTCAAAAAAAAAGAGAATAATGCTTTTCTAGGCCCATCAACCAGGAACTAAGTAGCAGATATTTACCAGAGTTGTTACCCAGCTGTTCTAGTGTCAGAGCTGCAGTTTCTGCAAAACTGAAACAAACAAACTGAAGAACAAGCTAGGTGTAAAATGAGAGAAGATGGGCAACTTGACAAAGAAAGTGTGCAGATTAAGTTTTAAAAAAGATATCCTTCATGATAACAATTAACCCAGGACTAGAATGAAAAGATGAAATGAAATAGTATGTTTTCCTATGCTTAACCTAATTTTCAGGGATCAGATACACAATATGTTCTCAAAATTACATTTGATATAATTCTTAATGAAGACAAGTAGTTCTAGGCATTTTTAAATTCAAGTGCTTAAAGGACTTGTCTTCATTCTCTGCTTATATAAAAAGCTAGATTTGCTCCTAGGAAAAAGAGCAGCAAAAGCTATCATATGTTTGTATAAGAAGTCCCCTTTGGGACAGAATGGAAACACACAAGTAGAATGTTATCAAGTTGATTAATTGGTGGTAATAAACCCTACTAGGTTCTAAAAAAGAAGTGGCCTTGTTAGTTTGCATAAGGGATTGGGAAATACTTAATGAGAGCATACTTTCTAGGAGAATAAAATCAACAAAGCAGACTTTTCCTGTGATCAGTCTTAACTTTCATAACGAGTGTCCAGTGATGATAACTTGCCATCCTCTGGGTAACCACGATCTTTTATCCCTCTCAAGATAAAGAGAAAATGAGCATTTTTTTGCTGCATACATAAACAAATGCAACGTGTTTTCAAAAGAAAATGAAGTCCGGCATGAGAATAAAATATATAACTAATCGTGTCCACTGCCACAATGTTAGCATCTTCCAAATCTAAGTAAAGTTTTTACTTTTACTTTAAAACTTTAGTAGATAAATCTACTTAGTGAAATCAGTCTATTGTTTGGTAACTTGAAGATAGGCTGTACTCTTAAATGAAGATGGGGAGTTGATGGAATTGATAGTTATTGCAAATGCTGTAAAATTGATGCAAAGTTTTATGAGTATAATAGTTTGCAGAATCTTTGGGGGTAATTTACTAAAAGCTGGATAAAATAATAAACACTTGCACTTTACTTGTGAAGCTCTTGCACAGCCTTGAACACATGGAGCAGTTAAAATATCCTCTTGAGAAAGCAATTCTTTGGCTGAGTAGGATATTAGAGTAAATGAATAAGTAGAGTGTACTGTAAGTGCATTTCTGATCCACAGGTAGTAGCTATATATTCACATTTATATAAATTCCCTTTTTAAACAAATTGTTTTACACAAGCAAGACTATGGGGAATAAGAGGAAAAAATCTATATGCATATGAACTCCAGTTTGAGATGTACATATTACAGTCTGTGTATTTTTTTCTTTCCTAGCTTCAAAGGAATATTTTGGCATCTAATCCCAGAGTCACAAGATTCCACATTAATTGGGAGGACAACACTGAAAAACTGGAAGATGCAGAGAGCAGTAACCCAAATCTACAGTCTCTGCTTTCCACAGATGCATTACCTTCAGCATCAAAGGGATGGTCAACATCAGAAAATTCACTAAATGTTATGTTAGAATCTCATATGGACTGCATGTGACTAACCACCATCGTTTTGGTACTGTATATGTGTTAAACTGTAAAAACAACCAGAACTATTTCCCTCAAATTCCATAAGTGCATAGTTTGACAAGCAATGTGAAGAACTTGTTTTAAAACATCCTGTAGAAAGTTTATAAAAAAAACAAAACAAAAAAACCCAACAAACAAACAGTATTTGAGCAAATTGTGGAATATAAATACAACTATTTTTAAGTATTTGCCTTTTTTTCTAATGTGTTATTCTATGTGGTCTGAACCAAACCTGATTAAAGTATATGTATTCTCCCCCTTCCCCCTTTACTTTGTAAGCACTATTAAAAACTAAAAAAAAAAGTTTAAAGGTTAAAACATTCAGGCAAAATGAAGGAATAATGCCATGTCCTCATCTCTGATACCCAGATTGCCAAATATAAAGTGCCCTTTAATGACAGCTTAAGAACAAAACTGTCATTAGATGAAGTGCAAAGAAAAAAGTATCTCTGATTTAAAAGAAAAAAAAGTCCAAAATGTCCTTTTGCTCTAAAAGCAGACAGCACAGTATAATTTTAGGTGCAAGCTTCTTTTCCTTTCAAGGCACATACTTGTTACTTAAAGCATGCAATTTGAGATTTACCATCTGCTATTTTGGATTTTAGGACTCTTTTTTTAAAATCTCCTCCTGCTGCTGTTTAATCAAACTGTGGTTTGTTCAGGACAGTGTTTCATGGGGATTTGAGTGGGTATCTCAGGAAAGAACCCTTTTTCAGCCACCCTACTAGCAATTGGTTGGAAGGATGCAAGCAATTACTAGAAAGTTCTAAGTGTCAAAAGGAATAGTGTGAGTATCCCAAAAATGCTCTTCTGTAAGATTATGTACCGCTGCTGGTTGGTATGTTTATTTTCAGGTATGCTTTGTTCTTGTAGTCTTTCCCACTAGTAATAAGGAGTTTAGATGTTGTATTTCATTTTTCTGAAATGCCTGGAATTGAAAACTTCTGTTTTCTCTCTATTGTTTAAGGCAGTCCTATGCACTGGTATAAATCAAGATTCATATCCTGTTGTGTCAGGCAGAACCCATTACTTGCCCTGAAGCTCTTGCACTGAGACGTCCCTATTACCTGAGGCATCCTTGAAGATAGAAAGAACTAAGCAGTAAACTGTAAAGACTCAAGACATCATTATGACACTAACAATTTAGTTATTCTTCCAGTCCTCATTAGCTTTATACATTTACTCTGACAGTGTGTGCATTTACATTTTAATCTGTCATGCCAGATTACAGGAATGTAATTCTGCTAGTTAGAAGTAACCGCACAAACTGTGAACCCTTGTAGGTTCCAGGCCCTTCAAAAAAAGGTAGATTTCATGATGACTGACAGTGGAGCTCTGAATAAAAATAGAATGCTTTCTCTTTTCTTTCTGCATTCTCTAATGGGGATGAAGATGTCCCAGGCAGTTAGTGCATCTGTCTTTCCACATTGTTAGTGAAATTGTCTTCATTTTGAACATGTATATTTTTTAAATTGGAAAGAAGTTATCTGAATGTACATGCAGTACGTAGGATAGCTGAATGAATTACTTATATCCATTAATATTTGGAACCATAATTCTAATGTGTGCTCTTAAAAATCTCTCTGTAATTGTTTAACATGATGACTAGCAATTTAGAAGTATTAACACTGTAATATTGAGATGACTTACTAGAATGGGTTCCCTAAACTAGCAGTTGCTTCACTTGAGGGCTGGAGTCCTGTGAACTTTTAAGAAAGGTCTTTGGTTTTCAATTATATTGCAACTTTTAGGTCTGTAGTGACATTTTGAGATTTTTCATGCACTTTATTGTTCTATTTATAACTCTGTTTTAAAGATATATCTCAAATGTAAGCATGTTAATAAGTTAGTCATTTGCTGAAGCACTGACAGGCTTGTGAAGTCTGCCTTGAACTAAGGCTACAGTAGTAGCATTTCAAACTCTTGCACCTCTTGAATATTCAAATGAAAGCATGATCAAGTACAAGCTTTAACCAGAATCCATCCATCAGTAACACTGAAGGCTTCTTAGAAGCCTATGACACAAAGTGATGAAAGCAGAACCTATTGCTGCTATTGCAAAATCAACTACAAAATATATAGTCTTACCCAGCACACCCATTAATTTAGAGAAATTGGAAAGTGAAGCTCTGTTGTTCTGTTACAGAGAAAAAGAGTCAACTGTGCACGTGAACTTGGGTGCAATAAACTTAAAGCTCAACTGTGTGGCAGATGCTGCAGTAGAATTTGGCACCACCTTACCCAACACACTAACATGTCCTGTATAGCTGACCCATCAGTTACAGGAGAAAGAATACTATGCTTGGTGAAAACTGGAGAGGAACAACCGTACCTCATGATCTTTGCAAGATAAATGGCTTTTCTATGCCTTTTGAGAGGTTGGATGCCTCTCAGGTCTTCTCCAACTTTGTCCAGATCTTAATCCATACATACTGCCTTGTATCATGTTTCCTGATAAAAACCACATTCCAGATATATGGAATTTGAGAAACCAAGTTCCAGTACTACACAGACTTCAGGCAATATCGCAGCCCAAACTTAGTGTTATTAAAAGATAGCGTGCATGTAGGGCATCTGTAAAGACCTGTCCCTGATCGCTGAAAGTTTTCAAACAGCAGGGTTATTCACATGACACAGCCAGCCAGTGCTGACAGCACAGTATTAGAATTTCAAGGTTGAAGATGAATTCAGTTTCCCACAGACTTCTACTTGCAGAGACCACCAAGATGCAAGGAAGTGCTATAGATTTTATTGACAGGACTGGTTATGTATCTTGGTGTATTTTTACTTCAGACAGATAGATAGTTTCATTAGAAGACTGTCATAATGCTTATCAGAAGTTAGTCATGTACAAAGAAGTAAATGGATCAGACAAGGTAATATTACAGATGAAAAATGGGTGGAGTTTTTATGTCTAGCTTGAAAAAAATAGTCCATCTTACAGTCACTGTGGTTTATTCAGATGTTACTTTCAGTCTGAATTCCTATGACACTTAAGTTTGATGGGGGCAAAAAGGCTCCAGTTCCATCATATTGGAGGAAAATTCATCTTTCCAGTGACTTTACAAAGCTCCACTGAAAGAGCTGACCCTTACTACGAGTCTTCAGGGAGCCCCTGGTGGTCTAGAGGTTAAAGACGTGGCGCTGTCAATGCCGAGGCCCGGGTTTGATTCCCGGTCAGGGCCCCTCCCCGGGCAGATGGAGCTCGTTAGCCCTGTAAGGCAATCCATCTATGTCCTGAGGACCTCACTGCCACTGTCCAAGCATGCTTGGCCCCGGCAGATGAACCTCAGGATTAAAGGGTGGGCTCAGTTCCGCGCACACTGTGTCTCACCTAAAAAATCCAATGCGCAGGCTGGAAGGTGGAAAGACCTTCCCCGGTTCTTCGTTCGCGAAGACTGGCCATTACTACGAGTCTTCAACAGCACAGTAACTCAAAACTTTGCTAAAATAAACACCGTAACTTAGTTTATAGCCTTGCCAGACAATCAGTTCTTGAGACGTGAGTGACAAAGTCAGAAAGAGAAATCTGGTATCTGACAGTCCATTTTCTTTGTAGTGCCTCAACTGCTGGTTTTCTGGAAGTCATTTCAGACTAGTCTAGACTAATACTGTCTGTGCCATCTGAAAATCCTGGAGGGAAGGTAAAGGAAAAACCCAAAATGTACTATGCACATATGCTCCTGGCAAATCCTCATTTACCAGAGACAAAAAAAGAGCAAAGTTAACTAAATCTTGTGGCTTCTGTCTGGACAGTTGCAGGAGATCCTTCACATACTTAATTAACTCCTTAAATACTTACTTAAATAACTCTTTATTCATAGCACAGTGGTCTGCAAGCTTACACATTATCTCATATTTTGAGAGCCACAGAAGTTTGGTCTGGAGATGATGGGTTAATTGTTGCTGTGGTGGGTAGCTGGGGAGCTCTGCTCAGTACCAACCAGGAAGATGCAGCAAAACTGACAACTGCGTGTCAGGGCTGGCAGTGTGTGTGGGACTATTCACGCCAGGCCTTCCTATTTGTGTTCCTGTTTCCAGTTAAAGTTCTCTTTTAAGAGTTGGTCTTGTAATGTGTGATATGAAAACTGGGCTGGAGAAGATGGGTGGAGGGATTTTTGCTTTATTTTTTGGTCTAGGCAATGAAGACAATCTAAGGAAGAAAAGCCAGCTGAAGGCACTAGGGATGCTTTATTAAACACCAAACTCAGGCTTCGACATGGAACTTGGAAAGCAAAGGCCCTTCCAGGAGGAGATGGAGGGAGGATACAATTGAACATTTCCAGCTTTAGCTAATGCTGTTTTGGAGGTGTGGCTGGGTACTCGCTGTCTGTAGGATGAGGGGTGTGATTGGCCTATCTAGAGATAGGCAAAATCAGAGATATATATGTGTGCTGCATGAGACATCATCTGTGTGTCAACAGCAGTGTTAGAACTGGCTGAAATGTCAGGAACTTCTAGGGAGTTGTTGGGGGTCTCGCTCCAAAACTTCTCTGGACTATGAGATAAGGAGGCCTACCTTTCAAACTAAGGGTGTTCTCCAGTTCATCCTGTCTCACGAGAAAGGTGCAGTAAAGAGAATCCTGAAGACATCTGATATCCATCCAGAAATCAACTGTAATGCCTGCCATTTCAACAGCAGGATGAATAAGTCTGATGAAGGCTGGCCTGGATGTGTGAAAGACTGAAACCTTCAGCCAACATGATGAAGTTGCTGCTTTGCTCCTGCAGTATTTCTCATCCATCCTAACTACAGGTCTTCAGGTACAGATGTATGAACAGACCAAAATTTTTGAAGACAGGTATATACTTGGCTAAATAATCTCTGGCATGCAGGTGGTCAAGGTAAGCTGTCTCAGGACAAAGCCATCTTGGAGCAGCATTATTGAGAGGAAATTAAGGGATTTTAAGAATCTGCAATAGATGAGATGTTGTTACAGATGGGGCATATCTGACGATGTTTGATTGTAAGTTCAAGTTTAATTTCTGCAGGAAGTTTAGCAGAGTTCCCACAGAGTTAAGGCCTCTTCAACTTGAGGCCCAACTGTTGACAGAAGAACCAATGAAGCCATTCTCTCAGGAAAATGTTTTCAAGGTACATACTGATAGAAAATACTTGGGGTTCGTGTACAATTATAACTGTTCAAGAAAACAATCCCATAGTAGAAGTGAAGATCAGAGAAGATTGGCCTAAAGGCTGCATCTATATTAATAACTTTATCAGGGACAATGAATGAATCTACAGTGGAAAACTGTTCCCTGCCACTATCTTGGCTTGTAGCAACTTGGGAATGCCCAGGGACAGTTTGGGATCTACAAAGAGGGAAAAATATCTCCAGTTTCAGTGTGTTGCATACCTCAGGATACTGACACCATGTACTCTATTTATAACCACAGCTGGATGGCTCATGTCAGCCACTTTGGATTGGTTTCTAATGGATCACAAGAGAGACAGCTGTTAGCACCTGAAGACTGCCTAGCAGGGCGACGCTTACTATGAAAGAAAAAAAAAAAGAGGTGGTTTCCTCTGGAGTCGGTTCCCTTCAATGAAAAGAAAGAAAATTAGTAGCAAGCTGCTGTTGGCATGATATGGACAATCTCAGACATTGCAAAATGTCAGCAAAAAGGCAGCACTCACAAGGCCCTGCAGAGGCTGTAAGAGGAGAGACAACAAGAGTGCATTTCATACAGCTCAGAAAGGCATTTTATACAAAACTGGAGAGCTGGAGAAACAGCTGATAGTCTCCCAGATTTTTAGGCAGGCTGTTTTAAATGCAGTTCACAAAATTATTTAAGCAGTCCATCTGTGGAGGGACGCAACACCAAACAAAACTTTCAGAAATGTGAACAGCCAAATAATGCACCAAGAAGCAGCAGAATGACTGGCCAGATGTCCACGAGGTCCAGACCTGCCAGAGCAGGCGTGTGTTGGTTCCTGTCCCTGTGGAGTTGAACACACTAATTGGTTGCTGCAGGTCTCAAACTTCAGGGGTAAATGAAATATTTTCTTACTAGGGATCATCTCATCCAAAGATGCATAGGCAGTGCTATGGCTCTGGGGACTGCCAAACAGGTGGTTAAACTCAGTAGTAAGGTGAGAACCTACAGGGAGAGTTTGTTAAGCCTCACTAAGTCTCTATGGAAAACTATGTATCAATTTCTAAAAATGTAGCTGAACGACTCCCTGTGAGAGACTAGTTGGGGAGAATGAACCAGGCCTTTGAAAAAAGCGTAGACAGAACCAAACAGTGAGACAGATGGTTACCCCATCTTTTATTTACAAATCAGAAAGTCCTATACTGGTCAAATAAATTTCTGCCACTGAGTTGTTGCATGTGGGCTGGTCTTCTGGCTGCCAATTCTCA